AAACAAAATTGGAGGTTTTTTCTGACTTTCAACCAGTCCGGTTCGAACGGTTTAGCCGGACCGGGCCGATCCGATTTTTAAAACACTGATCTAAATACTTATGACAGTGGTGAAGCACTATTGCGTATTTTGCTAGATTTTTATGATGAAAATGTTTGCATCAATTCACCTAATCTTCTCATTGTTATAACTCCTAACCTACTATATATGGTGTGTACAGGATCAATAGTAACAGTGATAGATCAGAAATATATATATATATATATATTTTATCACATAAATTTTTTGTAAGAGGTGGACACAAATAAAATTTTAAGATAGACATATTAATAAAATAAATAATTATTCAAAAAAAAATTAAGGTGTACAAAATAAATCTGACATTGATGGTAAAAGTTGATTGACTCGTCACAATATTAAAATAGTATAAATAAATTCTTTTCGTTAATTTTATTGTCAGTTTAGTTATGTAATATCAATGAATCCATTCATTAACCTCAATAATAAAACTACATATTATTCTTATTAAAAGATTTAGATTCAAACAATTATTTTTGGAAAAAATTATAATCACCTTATACTGTACATAAAAAATTTATAAAATATCTGAAATGGATTCCTCTTTTTCTTTTTTCTTGTTGAAGAAATAACCTACATCTAGTTTATTTAAAGAAGAAAAAAGAATAATATTTTTTATTAAAAAAGTGATATATACAAGTAATTAAAAAATCAGAGATTTATAATTATTTTTTAAAAATATTTCGTAAAATCTTTCATCGATGTGTATTTGAAATATATATAAGGAATATTTAGATGATATAGATTTCCATTAAATTTAATTTTTTTTATTTCATACACTAAAAATTCAATAAAAGTAGTGATTTTAAACTATTATCCTAATCGAATATTTTAGATTGTTCAATTATAATAGACATAATGATAAAATTACTCTAAATGTTTGCATAAAAAGTCATTTTATACTCTCTTTTTTTGAAATATTTTATCTCTGACATTTTAATTTTTGATCAAAGCATATATTGTTGGATGAATAATATTAGCTGACTAATGATCAATTCATATTATTGATGTGATATTTTTACATGTGTTCAATTACTGACGTGACACGTGTTACATCATTATTTTTATTGATACAATATATGTCATATTATCATTTTGATAATATGATACATTTCGCGTCATCAATTAAACACATGCGACAATGTCACATTAATAATATGGGTTGATTGTTAGTCAATTAATAGTTTTCATCCAACATAATATGTTTTGACCAAAAATTGAAATATTGAAAGTAAAATGTTTCAGGAAAGGAATAGAGAATAAAATGTCATTTATTAAGACAATATTGGTATCGATTCCGGACGATGTGGAGGTGTTAATCATTCCTTACACGTAACCGACTCTCGAACCATTCCAAATGGATATTTGGTAAGACATAGATCCAATAAAATATCAGATTTATGTATTTGACCCTACCTAACTCAAAAGGTTAGGGACGATTCAAAAATATAAAATCATTCATTCAAGTCAAGATTCGATCCCTAGCTTTCAAATGACCACTTTGACACTTGAATAATCTAAGTTCGAACAACATTATTTATACATACAATGAGTTTAGGCTAAATTTTCTAAAAAGTAGAATAAAATAATTATAAAGAGAGGAGAATCATTAAATTAAACATAACCAATTAAATGGGCAAAGAATATGAAGAAATTCTTAATGGCAAGGAAGAGAATGGAATCAAAAAGGCTGTAAAAGCTTGTCCTTTTATTTAGTGGAAAAAAGAAAGGAGTAAAAGGAGCATCATGCTAATTGTTGTTTTGTTTGGGACCCATTCAGACTCATCCCTAAGATTCCTTATCTCTAGGTAGGGGTGTTCATTCGGTTAAAACGGTGATCGATCGAACCGAACTATTCTTAACCGAATTAATCGAATTTTTTTTTTCTTTAACCGTTAATCGAACCGAATTTTTTTTCAAACATATTAACCGAACCGAATTAATTTCGGTTAATTTGGTTAATTTTTGAATTAACCGAATTTTTTTAAAATTTTCTAATTTATATAAAAATTAAATGTTTTTAATTCAAAAAAAGTTTATAATTAATTTAAATAATATATAATTATAAAATAAAAATTTCAGATAAATTTTTTAATTAATTAATATTGATTTAGATTTAAAAGTTATTGGATCTTAAATTATTAATTTAGTTTTAAATTGTTTGGGCTTAGCCCAAATGTTATATATAATATATATTTAATATTTTTTAATTAAAAAAAACAGTTTACAATTAATTTAAATAATATATAATTATAAAATAAAAATTTTATATAATTTTTTAATTAATTAATATTGATTTAGGTTTAAAAGTTATTGGATCTTAAATTATTAATTGGGTTTTAAATGATTTGGGCTGAGCCATATGTTATATATAATATATTTAAAATTTAAAATTTAATTTCGGTTAATTCGATTAATTAATCGAATTCGAACCGAATTAACCGTTAATCAAATTCTAAAAATTTTCTTAACTGTTAACCGACCGAACTAATTCGATAACCGAACCGAATTAACTAAACTAATTTAATTCGATCGATTAACCGAATTAGTTCGATTATTTGAACACCCCTATCTCTAGGTTTTCCCACACATTCCTTCTTCCTCAATTTTTTTTTATAAAATTATAAATCTTCCGACGGATAGTGTTCCACACCGTCCAATCACCCCCAAGTTTGTGCTTTTATTCCACTCCAATTTTCCACGTATTGCCACCTATACTTCCATGTTACAAAAAAAATCCATTTTAAAATTTTAATGAGACGATATTTTCAAATTCAAATAGTTTTAAAATCTAATTATAAAAATTGGTGAATTTTAGAACTTTACGCGTTCAAATCTATTGAGGAGTTATAAGTGATAAACGAATATGTTATTTTGTTAGAGGTTACGAGTTCGAATAACTACATATGTAGAGTGCGTATTGTCAATAGTTAATTTTTTTTGAATAATTACTACCTTATAATCTTTTCAAATGTTTTTACACAGATTTTGAATCTTAAAGTTATTTATAATGATACAAATGAAAAATATAACAAAATTATAACATAAAATAACATAAATTCAATTAATTTCGTAAAAAATATGGGTGGATTAGCAAGTAACATTTTGTTAAAGTGAAAAGGCTTTTTGTTAACTCTTTAGGGTTAGAAAAAAATGTGAACAATGGCAACAACTCGCCTGTGCGAAAACCAAAATATGCCTTTGAATGGACCTTTTAGGTAAAAAGCTGACCATGAATTTGGGGTTATGGAATAATAATAATACTAATAATAATAAATGAAACAAAATGATAAAAAAAATTCTAATCCACAAATTAAATTAAAGACTAGATGAGGTCTGAAAGTGGCGATTCCCCTTTGAAACGTGAGAAAAAAAGAGAAGAGAATCTGAAGTTCTAGTGTTCAACAAACCTTTGGTTTAATTGGTAAAAGCTCCTCTAAATTATATCATTTTTTTCAATTTGGTATCTAACTCTTTTCCCTTCAAAAGTATCCCTAAACTGTTTTCTCATTATTTAAAATTAAAGTTTAAACCTAATTCAACATTCAACTTTTTAGACAACCTCAATTTTCATAAATCTAAAATTAAAATTTAAACATAATTTAAGCATAATCTTTATTTTGGACCATTCGATTGAATTAAGCTAAAGTTATCACTTGTTATATTTTGACTGGTTCATAGTTTTTAAACGTGATAACGATTTTGGGTGATTTGGACAAGGAGAATATGATTTAGTAGCAGTCAGGGACGGAGCTAGGATATAACATTAGAAGGGACAAGGGTTTATTAAATATTTAAATAAAAAAAATTGAAAGGGACAAAGACCTTATTTGATTAATATTTAAACTAAAAGACACCTAAAATGCTATTATAGCAAAATATTTGAGAGAGGAAACAGCCCCTCCCATACAAAGAATATATCTATCCCTAGTAGCACTTTTGAAAGAAAAGAAAAGATTTAGGTATCAAATTCAGAAGAATGGTATAATTTACTGGGTGATTTGTTAATTGAGCCACAAACCCTTTAATTATATTAAAATATTTTATTGATTAAAAGCATAGTGGTAAATTAAATATTAGACACGTGTATGAATCTCCATGGATATATTATAGAGTATGCGCTCATATTCCACATTTGCTGGCACATAAACCAAATGATCACTCCATTCTTGATGAGTCTTTGACTAATCTGCCATCAAAAGTTGTGATTTAATTTTTAAGATAATTTATTTCCTACACTTTGACTATTATATCCAACCCTTTTCACTTTGTAATATTCCCTTGGGGTTCAAGTCAATTTGACCAACTTCGTCTGTTAATTTTGTAAGAATTTTTATAAATATTGTATTAAAAGTTTTAATAACTCATGGCTAATTTGGTATTACATTCAAAAAATAATTTTAAAAGTAGTGTAAAAAATATTTTTATAAAGTATAATTTGATTGTTATTAAAAAATAATTTTACAAAAATAAAATGTATATTTTAGTGTTGTAAAATATAGTATATGAGGATAAAATATAATATTTGACATCATTAAATGAGTTAAGAATGATAATTTTAATTTTAATTGATATATCGAAATTAATCAATATATTAAACTGAGATTTTTTAATATTTTCTTTTATTTATTTATTTATTAAAGAAAACTAAACTAGAACCGTCGGTTGGGGGATTTGAGTAATGTAAAAGGGTGAGTGAACTCGAAGTAATGGGCGAGTCATAGATTGAATACGCGATGACTCGGAAGTTAATTTTTATAACACAGTTTTGCGGCCCAAAACCGTATACAAAATCACAGCCTTCCAAATTTTCCATTTTCCTTTTCTATTTTCACACTTATCCCCAGAAACCAAGATTTATACCTTTTTTTTCTTTCAGATTCTCTGTTCCCAAACAAAACAAAAGGGGAAAAAAAGCTTCTCTGTCACTCAACACTCGCATTATTTTATAAATTAATAAACAAACAACTCTCTCCACCTCTCTCTCTATATTCCATTTTGAGATCCCATCGGCTGCCTCCCTCCTCATTTTACCTTCCTTTATCATCTTCAACAGACAAAGGAGAAGAAGAAAAACATTCCGAAAGGAAGGAGGAAAAAGAATTTTGAGAGAAAAAGAAGGGATCGAAAATGGGTTTGGTTCATCCAGAACTAAGCTTAGATTTTAGACCCACTTTTATACCAAAAACGATCACTAATTTCCTCAAGGAGGTTTCACTGAACGGAAACGTTTCTGATAAGGCTTTGAAACTCGATGCGATTTTGAAAGGATTGGAAGAAGAAATGAAAAAGATCGATACTTTTAAACGTGAACTTCCTCTTTGCATGCTTCTTTTGAATGATGGTTCGTTTCTTTAATCAACATTAATCACCCAATTAATGGTCATCCTTTTGAGCTCTTGATTTCGTTCTTTTTTCTAAATAAAAGTTTACGTCTCCAGCTTGGTTTAACTTGGGTTTTGGTCGTTTTGATGTTTTATTGAACTTGTTTAAGGCAAAATTTGGGTTTTTTTTGTGTGATTGCAGCGATTGTAGCTTTGAAAGAGGAGTCGATGCAATGTATGGCGAAAAACGTTGAACCAATTTTAGAAGAATTCATTCCATTGAAGAACAAGGAGGAAAATGATCAGAGTGAAGAGGATGGTTCCTTAAACACCACCAAAAAGGAAGAAGACTCTAACAACAACTGCAATAATTATAAGGACAAGAAAAATTGGATGCGTTCCGTTCAGCTCTGGAATGCTGATGCTGATGATGATTGCTACACTGATCACACTCTAGATAATAAGGTACCTTGAAGAAAACCGAAGACACCATATTTAAGCTGAATAATTCATTTACAACTGAAATTTAACTACTTTTTGTTTCCTTTACAACAGAGAAACCATGGAGATCCATGTAAAAACAGGGGAGGAGCGAGAGCGTTTATGCCATTCAAGGCAAGTTTGGGTTTTGCAGTGAGGAAAGAAGAGACAAAGGAGATACCGGTTCCTGGAGCAGTTTCGTGTTCCGTAACCAATGATCAATCGAATTTTCGGTCTGTACCATTGGCAGTGCTTTCCAATCAGCAGCAGCAGCAGACCGGTAGGAAGCAAAGGCGGTGCTGGTCGCCTGAGTTGCATCGCCGGTTCGTCAATGCTTTGCAGCATTTAGGAGGTTCTCATGGTGAGAAAGAAAAGACCAATTAGAATTGATCTCAGCTGGTTGCAATTCTGATTTTGTTGTTCTTGGATTGATTATTATTCTAGTCCTGCTAGATAAGAATTAAAAAGTTTGGTTAACAAGAAGACCAGATGTGTTCCTTTATCACTCGATCTGGTTTCACTTTAAAGATGTAAAATATGGATTTGAGTCCAACAAGGGTCTTTGAGTACGTGTATGAATTGTGTATGTATGATTAGTTTGGTTTGATACCATGGATGATTAGATATACTTATGGGAAATCAAAGATCCTGTGGGCTGTGGTATTAATCGATCCGTTGGGAATTGGGATCATGGGATTGAAGTGTTCTTTCTAATGGCAAATCGTTCTTTGATCCTTTTAGTTTCAAGTTTCTGAGTCAGTTTTCTGAATATTTTTGCAGTGGCTACCCCAAAGCAGATTAGGGAACTTATGCAAGTAGATGGCTTGACCAATGATGAAGTTAAGAGTCATTTGCAGGTGGGGGAGCTTACTTCTTAATCCCTCTTTCGTAGTAATTCGATCTCTCCAAAGTAGTGAAAAGATATAGATCATCTGTTTCTTAATATTTTGATTCGTATTTGATTTTTTATATCGAATATTGATGAAAGACTTCTCTGACTCTCCAGAAATACCGACTACACACAAGAAGACTTCCGGCCGCAACGACCCAATCAGCCTTTGTTTTGGGGAGTGCTCATCCATGGACATCCCAAGATCAGTATGGAGAATCCTCGAAAACTAGCAGCTTGCAGTCTGCTTCTCCACAAGGTCCACTCCAGTTAGCCACAAACACCAGAGGGACCTCGACTACCGGAGGTGACAGCGTGGAAGACGATGAAGATGCAAAATCGGAGTGCTATAGCTGGAAAAGCCATGTTCAGGAACCCGGAAAAACTGATGTATAGTGTTTATCCACCATGAATTTTGCAGATGAAGTATACATGGGAGGAATTCAATATATTATACTATTAATGTATCATACATAAAAAAAAGGAGAAAGATCTTGAGAAATGAGAGAAGATAAGGTGTGAAATTTTGCAGGATTTAGCTTTCCTTGGATCTTGAATTGAGCTTTTGTTTCATTGCATTATTCCCCATATCTTAAAGCAATAATTTTTCAGTAGATTTAATTTGAAAAAGAAAATTAGTGATTAAAATGAATTTTTGAGAGAAAACGTGATGATGTTTATATTAACAGGTAGAAGGAAGAATAATTCTAAAGATCCTCTATCACTTAATAATGAACGTTCAAAAATCTTTATAGAAACATCTTTATAGACGTTATGTTTGAATTCCATAACTGTAGGAATAAGAATCAATCCTTAACAGGCTCTTAAATCTAGATCAAAGTGAAATCGTTTAAAATATCCAGATTTTGATCCTTTCACCTAACCCATGTCATATACCACTAACAAAAAAACCCATCAATTGTAATGTTCGTAATTCATATGGGAGCATGACAAAACAGTCACCCTCACAAGCAAAATAATGGAGAGAATCTTGTAGACAGGACAATATATAATTATGGAGCATGAGGAAATGATGAAAACTCTTCACAAATTTACCCTCTTTTTTAAAGATTTCTCTCCCGCTCTATTAGATTGTAAAATTCAAATTCTAAGTTTGAATAGGAAGATGATGATGATTGGCGAATATAGCATTAATATAAACAGCTAGCAATAGCTAAGCACATTTAAGTCTAACCCCACAAAAGAATGATGCATGCTGCTCACTCTCACCGAAGAGTATGATCTCTAAGATTATGATGGGTTTATATATAATAATAAGGCATGAATATGATGATAAAGTATTTGGTGAAAACGAACCTATCAAGTGACTTCAGTGTTTAAAGATAACATTATTTATCCTAAAGATTTCGAGTTTGAAAAGTTGCATATGTAGAATATCTGTGTTATTAATTAGTTAAAAAATTATTAACAGATACTACCTTATAATCACCTCGTACTATTAAAAAAATTATTCGGTGAAAACAAAGACAATCAATATCCATCCAGCTAGGATTTAATTATTATTGTTCATAAATCACAAGTATTTTGCTTTCTATTTGGTGTTTCATATCATCAATGTTAAGACCCTTTGCCTTTGTCTATAGTCAAACCAATAATATTTAAGTTCAATCATTTATGAAAACCTTTTTTTCTTAATGATAGAGTGTATTTGAATGACCTGTATGATATTTTATAAGTTGTTTGTTACCCATCGATCACCGAATAAAAATGATATTATCAATTTATAATTTTTATAATATTTAAACTACCCGTATATATTTTTATATGATACTATTTATTTTTATATATTCAAGTTTTTATATAAATTAAATATTTTATTTTAAATATTTTACAATATTATTGAAATCGGACCAAATTGACAAGTGTCATTTCATGTAATTGTGAATTAGCTGTCGGGTCTGAATAGTGCTTTTGGAGTATGATTCGAAGGAGATTAAGGAAAAATCGGCACTTTATTGCAGTAATATTGCTGCTATTGCCACAACTTCAAGTTGTATTTAAATGTTGGTGTTGGCACCGACTCTCCTTTATGAGCCAGAACACAGGTGCACTAGGCCGGATTTCAAAGCCAACAACCACACGATCATCCCCAAACAACTTTTGTTATTTATGACTAGAATTGAGAAGAGACAAATTATGAATTATTCGAGTTTAATTCGGTCAAAGATTGGTCAACATTTGAATTGAATGGGCTCGACTCGAGTTCTTAACGAACCGAAACAAATTATTTGATACATGACTCGAAAAACTCACGAACAACTAAAAAAATAATATATTAAAATTTTAAATTAAGTTATTAATAATATTAACATTTATACGTTTTTACTTTAACAATGTTAAATGTAGGTATCACAGGAGGATTAAATGAAATATTTATATTGTAGCTAATTTTTACAATATAAAGATTTCATTTAATCCTCCAGTGATACCTACATTTAACATTGTTAATTTTTTAGATTATTTTGATTATCGAAGTTGAATTATTCACAAGATGACACTCAAACTTTATTTTTTAGGTCATTTTAGTGTGTTAATCTTGGGGTCATAGGATCGAGTCTTTTGTTGACCGTCATTGTCGTTGGTGTCTTCGTCGATTACCAATCTCATACAGGGATGGACCGACCGAATCCTTAGAAAATTTAAATTCTCTTATATTTTAAATTTTTTCTTTATATTTTTATTGATTATCTAATTTCACACTCACTAAAATTTTACAACTTTGTACCTCCTAAAATTTTTAACATAACTTTTTAAGTTCAGACCTGCTTACCTGAATTCCTGCTACCGTTCCTAAATGCATACCTACCGATAATTTCTTTCCGTGAGGTCGCAAATAGGGGTGTATTCGGTTTGGTTTTTTTACCAAAAATTGAATCGAACCGAAATAAACGGGTTTTTAATATTTAAACCGAAACCGAATAGTTAAAAAATCGAAAAAACCGAAACCGGTTTTTTCGGTTTGGTTCGGTTTTTTTAACGGTTCAGGTTTTTCGATTCGGTTCGGTTTTTCCGTTTTTCAATAAAAAATCATTTGAAACTATAATTTTTTTATAAAAATTGCCTATTCGGTTCAATATGGAACAAATGGGTTCCATATGGAAAACCCGAACCGAACCAAATCAAAAAAATGAAGCCTTTAAACCGAACCGAAAATCGAACCGTTTAAAGACAAACCAAACCGAACCGAACCGTTTTACTCGATTCGTGTCGATTTTTCAATTTTCTCGATTTCGTTGCTAGCAAATCCCAACCCACGCACACCCAGTCGGAACCAGTGATTCCACATCTTTGCCGAGTCAACCATGAGGTCACAAATCTCCCCCACCCCACCCCACCCCACACACCCAGTCGGAACCAGTGATTCCACATCTTTGCCGAGTCAACAGCTGGTTCTGGTTTGGGTTTATTGTCGCATGATCAAGACCTTGAAAGCGGGTTTCCCCATTGGAATAAAGCTGCTGCTGCTACCACCTCTGGAATTTCATGGAACAGTACTCATCTGCTCCTCTAAATTCTCTTATCAATGAAATGTTGAGCTCTTTGCCTTTTGCAACTGGTTTGACGGGTCTTCACCATTTGAACAGTCTTTCGATAGGACATGAAACACCAAAGGAAACACCAATAATGGTGGTTGTAACACAGGAGGGAACAATGATGAGAATGGGACGACAAAAGATTTCTTGGGTCTTAAAGCATTTCCCAACTTAGCGGAACTTAAATTCCATCGTTTCAACACTTCTTCAACGTATGGACAACAAAATCAGCACATGGCAAGGTTAGTTTTAGGATGGGCATGGGTTGGGTCGGTTGGGTCAGATTTTCGGCCAACCCGACCCGACAAAAAATTATACATCTTCCATTAAAATTCGATCCGATCCGAAAAATATATACCATCTACCCGACTTGAACCCGATCTATTTTTTGAGATAAAATTTGAACCCGTCTCGACCCGACCCGACCCGAAATAATATATTTATTAAAAATATTATTTTTATTCAATAAAAATAAAAGATTTAATTAAAAAATAATATATAGAAGATATTATTGTAATTATTCCTAAATATAAAAGTAAAATTATATGTTTTCTCGGGTCGAGTCGGATATTTTTCACCCTAAACCCGAATATGAGCTGAACTTGACCCGACCCGATCAAAACTCAATTTTTTTAAAATATCTAATCGGATCAAATTAAATCAAAATCCGTCGAATTCGAATACCATGATCTCTAGTTAAGTTATAGTTATTCAGATTTCCCAAGCTCTATATTGAATATAGTACATGAACTATTGTTTCACACATTATTATAATATTTGAAGTCAAACACGATAGTACCAAATATATTTTTGAAAACTTGACAAGTGTACTTTTTTCTAGTAAATTGGTGTGAATATTATAATATTATGTTAAAATTATAAAAAAAATAAATTTTTTTTTGTCGAAATATAAATATAATATTGAACATTTTAAAGATATAAGTACCGTAATTAATTACAATAAAAAGTAAATATGTTTTAAAGGTATTCAAAATTTATTAATACATAACAACAAATAATAGTAAATGTTACATTAAATACCATAATTCAAATAATATTCCCATCAACTAAAGACAGTACAGTGAATGAAAATATGAATGGATTGGATTTGAATGAAAATTTGATATATTAATGGCTAGATTGTTGGGTCCTTCAGCTTTGGAGAGGTCTCATTATTGTCCTCTATTTGTTTCATTGGTGCTGTTGGGTGGCTTAAATAATTAGGTTTCCATTGGATTCTCTTTCTCTTTGTTCTTTTTCTTGTGTGAACTATTACATTCCTTTGTTAGGAAACATGTTAGGTGTTAATAGGGGTGAGCGTTTGAATAAAAAAAATTCAAGTTTTTCAAATTGACGAATCTTATTTTATGTTTGAAAAGTTTCGCGACCGCGATTTCGTCCGCAATATAACGGTTTTGCCGCCGTCTGAGTTACCCGCAATAGCGCCCGCGACGGCCGTAATCTCGGTAAACCCGAAATGACCGAAAACGCGACCGCGGCCGCTATTTAAAACCCTGACTGTGATGTGTGCTTCTTTATCCACCTTAAGGAACTCACCTTCTGTTAGATGTGTTTCTTCTCACTGCTTAACTTTTTTCAATGTATGTTTTTGCTAGTCTTCAAGGAGAGGAGAAAAACTGATCATTTATGTAAAAGGTTTTTGAAAGAAGGTTCCCGTGCATGCATGGGTTTATTTCAAGGGGTATAATGCTACTTTGAATAAGGAAATTCTTGTAATTTCACTTTCTCCATGCCACTTCAAGATGGTTGCAAACGATAAGGCTCTTGAAAATGGACTTGAAATTGGTCAAACCATGAGAATGTTGTTGCTGCACTTTCTTGCGAACTTCCTTACCAAGAAGCTGAAGACTGCAAGCATCAAGATAATAATAAGAAGGGCTTAGAACGTCTTTTTCAGGCATGGTTTCTTGCTCAACTTGTTGCTATAACTTCAAATGCGGGGACGGAAGTTAAAACATTGGTTTGGGGAATGAAAGTCTACTTCACTTTGAGATTACCATGAATGATTCTGGAACCTATGGATTTGTGTCGTCGAATGGCTTTTCAGAGAAGAGAAATAAGGCAAAGTTACCTTTGGAAATTTCTTACATATTGACTATCTCGGAGGAAACACTGCAAAGTCGAGGGGTTTAGCACAAATGTACCTATTTAACTTTTTATATTTTGATATAACAAATATTTCTAAAATTAATTTTAGACTTTATTAAATATTTTAAAAATAATTAAAAGTTCAAAATAACGTAAAAAATATGTTTTTTAAATTGTCATATATATATATATGAAATATTTTGAGTTCATTAAAATATATTTAAAGTGTTTTAAAATGTGTTTAAAACTTTCAAAATATGAAAAACAATGTTCAGTCATTATTTGGCACTGTTCATGCACGAATATTGTGCATGAATAGTAAATTTCAAAACTTTAGCTTCATAATACTTTTTAATGCTCAGGAAAAGGCTTCCAAACGTCTATAATACATATAAGCGACTACAAACTCATTCCTCAGCACATAAGCGCTAGACGAGGAACACACCTCTTACAAAGGTATAAACTCAGGCTAAACAATATGCTCCTCATGTTCGGTAACACTAGGGTGAGATAGTTCCTGGTCCACTGAGGATCGTTCGGGCAAAGTCTAGTCACCTTCAAACACAAAAAATCACATATAAGTCAATTTCAAATGATAATTATAATAGAAAAGTCTAAATAATCAATAAGAACGATAAATAGTGGCTTTAGGGGGTTAGAATTTCACAAAAAATATATTGCAAAAACGAACTCAGGACATTGAAAAACCTTAGAATATAGGTAATCAAAAAGTCAACGGTTAATGATTGAGTCAACAGGTCGAGTCAAAGTCAGCTCATTTGAATTTAAATTCGGCCAACTTAATTCAATTCAATTGAATCAGATCAAGTCTGGTTTAAGTCAAACCGATTCAAACCCTTAAACCGACTTGAAACAATACAATTAACCTTAATTTCGAGTTGTGACACTAATATCACATTATTCTGACATTTAAATAGAAAAAGAAAATCCTCAAGGAAAGAGCTTTTGTGAAGCATGACGTATGATTTTGATGGTATAATCTAAACCTAATCAACAACTCAGTGTCTTTCTACAAACTAGGATAATAAATATGAGTATCACTATAATTCCCTCAAAGCCAATAAAAGTGGAAAGTTTATTGTTCTCCCACTCCCTCCTGAACAAAGAAATAGCTATGCCTAAGTGGACTCAATTTTCACATCATCCTTCATAAGTGGAAGTGGGCACCAACCATCCAACATTGCTTTAACCATTGTTTTTCTTTGTCTTTGGAAGGCTCCACAATTCATCCATGTCCAGTGGCCTTACATTGAATTGCATAATGCCAATGCACACCACCCAAAAAAAAAATTTTTGGCAATTCAATGAAAAGATTAAATCCCTAGAAAGGTAGTGGGTGCTACTCTTGTTTTTTCTCACTATAACTAATTTCATTACACCTCTTCAAAATATAATTAGTTAACATAAAATTAGAAAAAAGTTGTAATCGATTGTAATTGAAAATTTTATAAGTGTACAACTTCTTAAAGTAAACTGTATAACATTTTAGGTTGAGATTGAAATATTATGTTATTATGTAAACTGCATATATATTCTAATTACTACTTAATAAGTTATTGTTAACAAATTAATATAACATTTTTTATTATAATCGAAGTTATTATCAACTACATAATTTTTAAAATAAAACATTGTAATATTTTGGATTAAAATATGCAGTGAAGTAGCATTCTCGATTATAATCGAAGTTATTATCAATTATATAATTGTTTAAAATAGATATAATATTATTTTAAATTAAGATCCCTCATAAATTAAATTAAATTTTTCCTTCCGCACAGCAAAACTGCCAGCAAACTATAATATAATTATTAAATTAATTTCCTATAGACCATGGTAAACTATTACATCTACCCTACAGGAAACCGATGAAGTGACATAACGACAGAGACGGTGAAAAACTGAAAGAGCCAAAAATGCCGTAGCTTAACCAACTTCTTACAGTGACATTTCAACAAACATGTTGTGTGCGTTAGGTAAGGTACGAATTATTATCAGGTAATTTAGGATTTATGATACATTAACATTATTTAGGGTTGATGAATTAATGATACACGAAGAGAACAAAACAAAATCCCAGGATTTTGTTTTAGGCGTACAAAGTACACTTCAAAAGCAGGATCTCAATCATGGCTGACATCTCTCCGTATGCTGCCTGTCCTATGTGCCCGAAGATGGATAAAAAAAATAAAATTATTTATAGAGAGAGAGGGTAATGTAATCGATCCCCTGAAATGAAAAATACATAAAAAAGGTTAATCAATGGAAAACAAAGTACAGAGTATTGTATTGTACAATTATTTCTACACACAAAAAGAGGAGAAAATGAAATGAAAGAGAAATAGTGAGAGAACGGGGAGCAGACCGGTGCTTACCTAAACTCCCAAGTCAGAAAGATCCCGTTTTTTTTAAAATTTGGGATAATAAATCAGTTAAATAAAAAATAGTGGGATTAGGGTTTTACAGGGACAAAACGGAAGTCTCAAGAGAGGCAGTAGGTAGATTTCTCTATGTTAATATATATAATATATGCCTGTGTATGTATAAATAAAAGTTATCAGTATAGCAACAAAGTGAAAAAGAGAGAGATAGTACGAGTATGATGAGGAGGCAACGGTGTTATTTGGATATAAGCATTGGAGAAGAGCTGGAAGGAAGGATAATAGTGGAACTGTTCAATGATGTAGTGCCCAAAACTGCTGAGAATTTCAGGGCTCTTTGCACTGGTGAGAAGGGCATTGGTCCCAACACTGGTGTCCCTCTTCACCACAAGGTCCCTTCTTTCTCTTCCTCCCTGTCTTTTTTTTTCCTTGTTGTATGGGGTTTGTTTTGCTGGTTTTGCTAAGGGCTGTATGAAATGGTTTTTGTGTTCTTGAAGTTGTTCAAAGTTGTGGATTTTCCCTTATATCTTTTGCTTCTCTTTGTATTCCCAGAATGAGAGATTAATTTTCCTTCTCTTTGAATTAGTTGTTTTTGGTAGGATATAGGAACAGTCTGAACAAGAATATTTGGTTTTTTATCCATTTTTTCGTTGTTTACTTTGCAATCTCCTAGATTCTTATGTTGTCTGTGACAAGGTTTCAATCTTTTATCGTTCTCAAAACCAAAAGAAAATAGAAGAATTCATTTAAACATTCCTTGACATAATTTTTTGGCAACGAGCATGTCATTAAGGATTCAATTGTTCTTATCTTTTTGCTTTAGTAATGTCATGTTTCCCATCAATTTGAATTTAATTGATGAATGATTGATTATACATGGCTTTGGATGGGAATTTCGTTTCTGTTGGATTTGAATGTCTTTTATCTCAGGGAGTTTGTTTTAATCGGGTTATCAAAGGATTTATGGTACAAGGTGGAGATATATCTGCTGGAAATGGTACAGGAGGAGAGTCAATTTACGGTTTGAAATTCGAAGACGAGAATTTCGAATTGAAACATGAAAGGAAAGGAATGTTGTCTATGGCAAATGCTGGTCCTAACACAAACGGCTCTCAATTCTTCATCACTACAACCCGCACTTCTCACTTGGATGGGAAACATGTTGTATTTGGCAAGGTTGTCAAAGGAATGGGCGTTGTTCGTTCTATTGAACACGTAACAACCGGTGAAGCTGATTGTCCCACTGTAGATGTTATGATAGCTGATTGTGGAGAAATCCCAGAGGGGGCAGATGATGGGATATCCAATTTTTTCCATGACGGTGACATTTATGCCGATTGGCCAGCTGACCTGGATGAGAGCCCAGATGAGCTCTCCTGGTGGATGACTGCTGTGGATTCAATTAAGGCTTTTGGAAATGAACATTACAAGGTAATGGGATTATGCATGTTTATTAGTAGTGACCATCTAATTACGGCATGTGGTTGCTCAATTTTTCTATCCCATGTTTCTCATTTAATCACTTTGAGGTGTCATTTGTGCTAATGTATTTCCTTAATAGAAACAAGACTACAAGATGGCACTCAAAAAGTACAGGAAGGCTCTACGCTACTTAGATATCTGCTGGGAGAAAGAAGGGATCGACGAAGGTGATTTTTCTTTTGTTGGCTGTACACTATCATCTTTCAATTATAAATAAGGTAGTCTGATTCTTAATGGGCCATGATCGATTTGCATGTACTATGCTGTTGCCTTACAGAGAAGAGTTCGAGTTTGAGAAAGGCGAAGTCTCAGATATTTACAAATAGCTCTGTAAGCTTCATTCTTCACTCTTTGACTAATATCGAGCTTTTTAGGTTTGAATAATTATGCAACCTATGCAGCACTGATTTACTGAGTTATGTGGCTTTAGGCATGTAAACTGAAACTAGGAGATCTGAAAGGTGCACTGTTAGACACAGAGTTTGCTATGCGTGACGGAGAAAACAACGTGAAAGCATTGTTTCGTCAAGGCCAGGTTAGTATATCTCCTTGGTAATTATTCTGATCTCTTGGATGCTGGTGGCTTTGGCTTGTACTTTGTCTGAGTTAGTCATCTGTTGAGTAAAACAAATTGTCTGAGTTGGTCATTTGGCTGCCTTTTGGTTATATTCTTTTGCACTTGCTGTCCATTCAGGCGCATTATGATCTCAATGATTTTGATACTCACCTGCAGGCAAACATGGCACTTAATGATATTGATGCTGCCGTTGAAAGCTTCAAGAAAGCTTTGCAATTGGAGCCGAATGATGGTTAGTGCTGAACTTAGACTTTGGCATGGCTACAATGAACTTAACAACTTTTTGGTAACTTTTGAATATTGTGTTTCAGGTGGTATAAAGAAAGAGCTTGCTGCTGCTATGAAAAAGGTTAGCAGATAGCATTTCAAATTGAAATACCCGTATCTTGTCGGGTTGCGTGTTTACTAACAAATGTGTTAATGCAATAAAACTTGGTGAGCAGATCAATGATCGGCGCAACGAGGAGAGAAGGAGATACCAGAAGATGTTCCAACCACACTCAACTGGTATGTTGTGATGTCGGTTTCTCAACGTGCTTTTATCATCTTCGCTGCTCTAGATGGATACCTGATGTTATCTGGAATGTGCAATGCAGATACTGATAATTAGAATGGTTCAGAGCATCGGTTGTCTTGTCACTGTTGCAATCTCTTTACCGTTAGACAATTGGAACGAATAATGAAGCCGTAGATTTATCGTAGGTGTCATGTTGATTTAACTGATCTCCCTCGGGTTTCAATGGAAGCAGAGGAAGAATTCCAGCAAAACTCAAACTGTACTAAAATCTGAGGTTTGAACCAATTCTTCCAATAGAGTTTTCATACAAGTTAATTGGACTCCGAAATTTAAACCCTGGCAGGTCAGACTTCCTTTTGTCTTTCATACAAAATTGGTATAAAATGTACAATTTTGTATTGTTTCTTTTACAAGCCTGCTTTTTCATTTATCTCTTGTTCGCCATGGATTTTGCTTTTAACATTTGCTCTGCTAATTGAATACTAAGGATAATCTAACCAATTACTAAAGTTCAATAAATCGGGATACATTAATTGGCCGAGTGATCAAAGATACTCATGTTATCTTATCTTGTGATAGTTGAATCTCAACATTTGCCTTAAAGTGTAATCTCTTTACCTAATAAAAAAAATTCAACAAATCGAAAGGTTGAATTAAATATTCAACAAAAATAAAATTTATATAGTATCTGATGGGTAAGTGTCTTATACCCTATCAATATTAACATTTTCAAATAATATTTATTATTAACAAAAGTTTTAATTTATTACCAATAACACATAATTTAATTCATTTATTTTAAATAAAATATAGTACATCTAAAAATCAATATGTACATTGAAAATAATTTTAAATATTAGCTAATTTATAATATAAATTAAAATTTAATTAGATAGTACCTAAAATAAATTATAATTAATTTTTTAATGATTTTATAATTAAAAAAAGGCATGATAAAAAAATAAACATAAATAAAAATGATAATTGTCTCAAATATATATCTTAATTTTTCAATCAAAAAGTATAACATTTTTTTCTTATTTCACATAATTAATGGGAAAATTAACGCAATTTACAATAATAAGCTTTATTATCAATATAATATTACCAAACCAAAGAAATATAGGCAAGATAAATATTTTTTTCTCTAAAAAAAGTAACCATAAAGAAACGTGAATGAGTTTAGAAAATGTCAACTTTTATTTTATTTTCACAAATTTATTGCCTAACAACGTTGAAAAAGGTTGATTTGGCAGATTCACATCATTAATTACCTCTCTCTAATCTTTGCCTACAAAATCCCTGTCTGGTCATGCTCCGATAGCATCAAACAAAACATCCAAATATTACTCCTTTTGTCTCCAAAACTTGTCTGTTTCTAAAAATGGGTTTCAAATTTGGTCATGGAGGCCTTGTTTTGGTGCTGTTTGCTGCTTCAATGGTGGAAGTAAGCTTGGCAAACAAGGAATTGGGGAGCCACCATCGCCACAGTCATACCAGTAGCCCTAAAAGAATCATCGTTGGTGGATCCCAAAACTGGCATTTTGGTGTCAACTACACCGACTGGTCACTCAAAAATGCTCCCTCCTACCTCAATGACACTCTAGGTAACAAAACAAACCTCAACATTCTTTATTCTCCAGTGTTCTCGTTTGCATTTGGTCACTAATATTGTCGATTTTCGGCAGTGTTCAAATATGATGCACCAAGCAACACCACGTTTCCTCACAGTGTCTACTTGCTACCCAACTTGAAGAGCTTCCTCAACTGCGACTTAAGAAGAGCCAAGGCGATTGCGAACCCGAATCAAGGAAGCAGAACGGTTCGAGTTTGTGTTGAAAAAGAGGAAGCCTTACTACATTGCTTGCGGCGAACGTAACGGCTTCCATTGCAAGCTTGGACTTATGAGATTCGCCATCGTGCCAATGCGACGTGGGCACCACTGATGCATCACTTAGGCCTTGGAATTTCCAGGGAAGATGAAGTGCCTGTGTTTTTGAGCCGAATGTTGAGCCCCTTTGTTAATGAACCATTTCGGGTGTTTTTAAATGTTGAATAAATTAGAGGTCGGGTTTAATTGTAGATTTTGTGCCAAATCAAAAGTTAATCCTTTTCAGTCTTTGGCTGTGTTTTCTATCTTTTTACAGTAACTTGTAGTTTCCTTTATCCAAAGAAATACCAAGTTTTGTGTTTACAATTAATAGTTCTTGCTTTGTTTGAAAATAGTTGGTTAAAAGAGAGCAAACCGTTGTTGCAGACATCTTGGTCACCTCCTTGGGTTGCGTTTGCAATCATCTTTGCTCTCTTAAAGTTGCAATTCAAGTAGCTCCATCGGTAACGTTGTGAGGTAACTTGGCGGATCACTGCAAAACCGATTCAAACACCATTCATCGACTTCAACAAATAACTAAGCTGTTGATTTTAGTAATGTCAAGAGACCTAGAATATCGTTGAACTAGAAGGGCGCATTTTGGAATATCCCCGGTCCCAGCAGTTGAAGCCCAACTACCACTTCGCTCATCCACCGACAATCATCGTTAACGACACGATGACATGGCTGACGATTGTCGACGTGATTGATGGCTGTTAACGTAGACATCTCACCAAAACGACGTTGTTTTGATCCGACTGTTAACGATTTAACGGTCCAGTGATATAATTAAAATTAAAATCAAAGTTCAATGCTATAATTGGTAAAACTAAAAATTCAGTGCTATAAACGATACAACGCATAAAATTTGGTGATATTTGATGTAGTTTACCCTAAAAATATCTACCAAATTTATAGAGAAAAAAAGGCTATATAATTAAGGGACTTTAGGTTGGTGGTATATGTGTTTACAAACTGCGTTATATCAGGTTTAAGAAAATCATTAATATAAAAGTTTGTACAAGATTCAGTTCAATGCATCTATAGAATTCATTTAATAAAAAATGTCATTAAAATATTAAAAACGTTATCCAAGTAATACGTATATATTTTCTGAAATTAAATTAATTTGTTTAATAAAGATTCATAGGATGGATAGGGTTTAAGTTTAAATTTTTCTGCTTAGGATCACCTCACTTATGTCATGCCATATTCACGAGTTAAGATATAAGCTCTAATTATATAGAAAAGCAAATATGATTATGCAATTGAACCATGTGCGGAACTTCAACGGGTAAAAAGGAGGCCCCGTAATTTTTTTTAAGTATTAATTAATATTGAAAAATATATATATATTTTAAAAATAAATAAATAAAATTTTACTTTAGTCCCCTCAATTAAAAAAATTTAGTTATGAAAAATAAAAATAAAAACTTTAACAGCAAAAGTGGTTGAATAATACAATAAAAAAAACTCATCAAATACTGCAGTCGAAAAATTATTTATTTAATTAGGATGAATGTTACAATAAATTACATAAGTCGTCAGGAACACACGACGACCTCCGGTCGGTTGGAGCACACTGCAACCTACCCATCTCAGTGCATCTCCCCCTCAAATGCATTGCACGTATGGAGCTTTATATACTGGTCAAGGAAAGGGAAAACATTAAAATAATAATTGCAAAGGAAAATTATTGGATGCATTGCACGTATGGAGCTTTATATACTGCTCAAGGAAAGGGAAAAATATTAAACTAATAATTGCAAAGGAAAAATATTGGTACGAAATAAAAGAGTTAGATAATAGTCTTACGGAATAAGGTAAAAATTTCGGTGGTTTAACGAGCAACGAACTTAACGAGTAACGAGTTGAACAAAAATATTTTTTAACGAGCACAAGTCGAGCAAAATTTTAACGAGCTTAATGAGCAACGAGTTGAATCGAGAAACAAAACTTTTTAACGAGCACAAATCGAGTATTATCTAACTCGCGATCGACTCACTCAATAAGTACCTCTATCTCAAACGATAGTTGGATATTGGAGTTCATACAAATCATCGGTTGTTGTTCGATACTTGACGCTGAATTATGAGAAATTCATGAAGTATTCATTGTATGGAACTTGAAAGTGTTGAAGGTTATCGTGGAGACGAATAACAAGGGCATCTTTATTGTGCTTGACCCAGACTCAAGGCTAGGGAGTACCTCGTTGATGCTTCCTCACATTGTTGCTTTTATGGAGCATAATTGAAGTTCATCGTTTAAATAGGTGCCTCGAAAATGTAATAAGATGACCGATGAAGTAATCAAATTTAGTTTAAGTGATTACAAGATATTAAATATTTAAAATATTTTTTTAATTATTGACAACGTACATATATCCTACAGATGTAACTGCTCAAACTCAAGACCTATAAAAAAATAACATTTCTTTTAACCATCGTTTAATGAATTTTAAAAAACATACCAAATTAAATATCAATAGTCATATTAATATAATTCAACCAATTTACATTTGTCGTGAGTAAAAAATATTTTTATCTTTGGCGAAGATAAACATGTTATCTCCATCAATAAAACAATTATATGGATAAGCAAAAGAAAACAATATTAAGCTCCATGCATGTAAGAAAAAATGTATAGGGATCACAACATTAATCTAGTTAATAATGAAGGAAATCAAGTTTGGATACATTTTTAATTTTTATATATCGAAAGTCAATGAACTTTTGGGGTATAAATTCTAAAATCTCCTACACAATGCTCGAGGAACATATCAGTAAAAAAACATGTTCATGTGCAGGTCACGTGGCTAGCAAAGCTTCTAAAGCTTGCATTTTTTTTCTTCTCACAGCAACAAATGACAGCAAATCCCTCATTTCCCCCCCCCCTTCTTTATTATTCTGTATTTATTTATTGTTAACTTTTTCTGTGAGCTGAAACCAAAAAAAAAAAAAACTCTCAAATGCGAAGTTTCTTACTGATTTATTGATCTTCTTCCTTTTCTGACAATGGGAGTCTGCACTTCGAAGCCTTCAAAGCCAAACCCATTTGCACCAAGAGAGGACCAACAGAATGAGCATCCTGCCTCTACCCAAGTACCCAAATCCCCTCTTTCTCCCTCTCTTCCTCCGACAACGCCTTTCCTCCCTTTGTACACCCCAAGCCCCGCCCACCAAGGAAAACCCAAGACTCCTTCCACTCCTCTCCGGTTCCTCCGGCGACCTTTTTCTCCTCCTTTTTCCGCCAAGCACATTCGGGCAGTGCTGAGGCGGCGGAAGCCTAACAAGGAAGCGCAAAATGAAGCCAGAGTTGTGGAAGGAGAGGAGGAGGAGTTGAGTTGGATAAAAGATTTGGGTTTTCGAAGGAGCTGAGGAGTAAGTTGGAAATAGGGGAGGAAGTTTGCAGAGGACATTTTGGGTATACTTGTTCTGCTTAGTTCAAGAAAGGAGAGTTCAAAGGCCAGCAGGTTGCTGTTAAAGTCATTCCCAAATCCGAGGTTTTTTTTTTGAAGTATTTAAATTTTAAACCTTTGA